TATATATATATCCAAGAAATGGCAAAACAATGCAAACTTCAATGGATGACTCGCATCACATTCCACCAGAATGAGCACTGTCAAAGTCTTTCCATCGTTCAAAAGGCTTTAATGTGTTATCTGTGCTTTACTTGGTCTAATAACATTGTGTGTTCTTGTAAAATTCAGGAAAGTGTCCACAGATACAGCTCTGGAAAAAATGAACAGATCACTTCTCTGAAATCCATTGAAAACCTCACAGTTATTCCACCAAATACTGATTTCATTAGTATTGTTGTTTCTAAATGCACATGAACTTGTTTTCTTTGCATTATTTGAGGTCTGAAAGAGCTGCATCTTTTTCATGATTTTGGCCATTTCTCATGTCTGCAAATAAATACAAAATTCTTACTTGGAATTTCAAAGACATGTCAGTAGTTCATAGAATAAAATAACAATGTTCAATTTACTCAAACATTTACCTATGAAAAGTAAAATCAAGAGAAACTGATCATTTTAAGTGATCTCTTCATTTGTACCCAATGATTTACTTTTTAAACTCAAACCAAATAATATAAATGTTGCATACAAATTTTAAACATTTCTCTTTAGTATTTTTTGTGAATTATGCAATTGGAAATTATTTTGGAATACTTCCAACATGTATTTTCAAAAAGAAAAAACACTTTTTTGTACATGTACTGTTTTTTCTTAGTTTCCCTTTTTATTTTTTCCCAGATACAAATAGTTGATAAAGAAAAAAAAAAAACATTCATATTCAAATTTCTACTTGGACCCATAACTGTCATGCGTATGGATTAGAATCTTACTTGCTCCAGGTTTGCCTATTGGGCTTGCAGCTCTGGACCACTCATAGTCATCATCCAGCCACTGGTTCACCAATTTCTGCTTCACATCTTTCTTTCTGCAGAAACAAAATACTGAGAATGTGTATCTGTTCTTAGAATATTGCTGAGCTGAAAATCAGCTTGGATTTAGAGTAATATTAGTGCCTCTAACCTTTAACCATTAGCATTACTACACTTATATCCTCATTCTATTGCTCGGTCATACATGTTCTCAAATTAGTCAACATGGATGTTATTGGAATATATTTCAGTTTTCTATCTACTGTAAAACCATCTAAGGTGTTAGTAGCTAAATAAGGACGACTTTAACAAACTAACAGAAACAAATCTCTTGCTAAGGCATCATTTTCTGTGTCCAGCATACACTGCTACAGGAGAGTGAACAACCAGTGTTTCATTCTCTGTACAACCAGTTACAGCAAGAAGCACTCAGTGAAAAAATACTGAGTGCTTAAAGATTAGTAGAATGATAGTGTGTGATCATTGTCAACATATTCTTGATTTTATCTGCTATTGGCCATGAATTACTCTTCAACGGTCCCTTCCATCCCAGCCTCCCTCAGTATTCATAGTTGGTGACTTTAGTTTTCCATGTGAATTAGTCCTCTCTACCATAAGGGGATAACACTACATCACTACACTATGTCTGTTTTAAAGTTCTGCTTTTAATGTGCTGTAAAATGTATCATTCATGAATACATTAAAGGCAAAGCACTTAGTCATTTTCCCTTTTTGTTAGTAGGATCATGTTTTGTAACAAAAAAACATATCACAGCTTACTTACTGTGTGTGTTTGCGTTTGTTGACAACAGCATATGCAACCAGGGTTACCACAGCAACCAGCAGGGCAGCAAGGGTCACACTTAGCCCTGCATAAAACGGAACTTTCTGTATGGGGAGGTTACAATTCTCTCCCAAGTACCAGTTGTCGTTCACTTTGTCACATCTAAGGAAGGAATAAATCAAAACACAATTAAAGACAAACAACAAAGTGTAGTGAATAATGTAATTAAATATTAATTTAAATATTAATAGAAAAATTGTATTGGGATGCTAAAAACTAAATCATATAACAACCTGTTCACTAAAAGTTGTTTTTCCTTCGTTTTATTTAGTACTTTAGCAGGAATGTTTAACTGATCTTTTACATGAACCAAGTCAGTGTGATCGACTGTGATGCACTGAACTGGAACATAGGAAGGTGTCTTCAATTAAACATTTTAAAGTTAAATAAACTGCAGTGAGGAATGAAGAACTGCTCAGTTCTTAGAAGACTGTCTACTTTGACCTTCATACTGTATCTCTCTCATCATTTGGAAATATAGATTAAGTTTGACTAATAAGACTGTGAAATCAGTATAATCTAATAAGCTGCAGTTTTTCTGAGTTACAGCTCTTGATCTCTATAGCAACAGATATGCTAGAATTGGAAAAGTGAAAAGTTGATATTGTTTGTTAGGTAAAATAAGCACATCAACGTACATGCAGATCTCTCCCAACCCTTTGAAGATGTTGCAGGTCCCCTTATTATGGCACTTTAAAGCGTCAGTACGTTCTTGGTCACATCTGCTTCTACAAACGATCGTGCCATTTTTTAAATCATCAGGACTGAAGTATTCAGCTATACCCGTGTCCCGCAGTGTTTCCATACATATACCTACAGAAAAAAGACAGAAGGTTTTAATAAGATCATGCCAACTTAATCCATCCAACTCCTTTCAGAGACCATGATAGTACCTCCCACAATAAGAGGGTGAGAGACGAGATGAACCAGGGATACACAGGTTGCTACTCCATCACACACACACAAGGCAGGGCACAACGAGGCAGCCGCAGACTTACACACAGTGAATTGAAATGGACATTTATCTGAACACTCATTCATGTCTGGCTCTGGGGTTAAACCAGAGTAGCAGAGAAAACTCACATACAGTAAGCATGAGGAGAACAGACAAACTCCAAACAGAAAGATCCCAGCCAGAGACCAAGGCCAGAATCCAGTTTTAGACCAGTTGATCCATTGGTGCAATAATTCATGCTTGCAGCTAAATGTTTCAAAAGTAAGATATACTGATGGATTTTTGAAGAAGACAGCCTTTGACTATGACTGTACCAACATTTATCAGTGGTAAATGATAGAGACTGTCAGCCAGTATGGACTCCATTCCAGACAACAGGCTAGCTTTGAGGCTAACCATCTGCAAGAAGGCCAAGCTGAGACTATTTTAAAGAAACTCGGTTTTAATGTGTATCAATCGCTTAAGAATGCATTATTTTCTTTTACTGAACTTTTGTGATGGTGAACTGGTTTGTTAGCATGGCCTTAGCATGGGAAACAAAAGGAGGTTGATGAGCATATAGTTAAGGTCAGTACAAAGAAAGTGGGAGGTGCTTAAAAGACCTTTATCGGTTCTTCAGAACAAGAGACACTAAGAGGGAAAGATTCATCCTGAAAGACCCTTGGAATCATCTGCAGAGTTCAGACTACTACCATCAAGAAAGAGGTTTACGTATGCCCAGAGGCCAAGATCAAATCAGTACATGAGGTCTTTTATTTTCATGTACTGAGAATAAAAGAAAACCAACTGGTCATTTCAAAACCTGCTGAGTTTTGAAATGATTCCAGATGAATCGCGCCATTGGAGTCCTGATGTACTTTTGTGAATATGAGTTTGTTTTTTGTTTCTCTCTCTGGAATGGGACTGTTGCTGTGTGAGGATTTTGTAGACTGTTTTAGGTGAATTACCCCTCGACAACTTATATCAATTTATTTAATCTTAATGGGAAACATTTAAAAATAGTTTAAAAATCCAAGTCAAACGACTAATTAAACTCTAATGTAATTAACAATGCTTTCTGGAATACTCATCCATACAGTTTGGGTGATTGTAGATAAATTTGTGAATCAGAAACATATTGAGATGCATGTTACAAAACAGCCTGTGTTCAATAGTTGCTGCACAATTATTTGCCAATACTAATGTACAAAAAGTGATGATGACCTCTTGGAGTAAAATCTCACATGCATGTGGTTAAAGACGTGAACGTAAAAACAGGCTGCTGATTACTGAACTAGAGGCAAAAACCATTTTATTGGTATTTTCACTCCATATGTTATAAAAAGGTTGTTTGGTGTCATTCAGATTTGAACTAATAAAGTTTGTCTTGTTCACTTAATGCTATGTTCCCTCAAGTCCTAAATCTCTTTATGCATTGTACTTTTCTACTTTCTGCTTCTCCTCAGTGATCTCCATCCTCTTTTTCTTTCCTGACTCCTATATTTGTTGAAAAAAGTGGAACTTAGTCGCTGTGTTTCTACAGTGCTTATACCTGATTGCTGTGTTGTAAAGAAACTTCTTACAACTGAGCTGGTTCAGAGGTGGATCATTTGGAAAGTCAGGGCTTTGAAAAATATATTTTCTGTCTAGAGAAGATAAATGTGTGTAGGATGTTGCAGTTTTTTGGTTTTTGTTGTCCAAATGTAGGCTGAACTTTGCTCGCAGAGCGAAACGTTTTACTAATTGTCCAATACTTTTTATTATGTGCAAATGATCACACAAACTGTAAACACATCCATCAGTTGATGAAACATAAAAGCTTAATTTAAAATACACCAATAAGACATGAGAACCTGTCTTAACTTTATTGATAATGTGCAGATACTCATAAAAGCACAAAAACTTTCTGCTTAATATTTATTACAAGATTTTAGTAATTTAATAACATTTAGAAATATTCACAATTCACATTTGTTTTGGTGAAAGAACAAATCTGACACATTCCTTAAAGCTCATTTTCCCCTGAAACGTGACTTACTCCACTAACCCTTTTTGTGTACTAACCCAATCCATTGCTCACTCATACATTATTATTATTTGATAATATTATCTTTACTTGTTTTTACACAAGTAAAACTATGTTTTATGTGCTTAAACACTTACCTTTCTTGTCTACGGATGTTTTCTTGAATGTGGTGTCTGAAATATTATCATAACCTAATAATCAAAGGAGAAAGAAAACAGTAATTTGATCTCCACAGAAAAATTAAGCATCACTGAGGATTTGAGTTGTGATTTCTTTAAGAATGATTTTTTATATTACCTTCCACTTCTGTAAGTATTTCTCCAACCTTTTCAAAGCTCTGATTATATTGAGCTTCATGGTTGCCATTATTAACTTCCAGAATCACATCATGTGCGACATTTACACTGAGGGAGACAAATTTTCTGAATTAGCTAAAATTAAGACATTCCTTATCTTAAAAACAGGTACAACTGTTCTGTATATGAAATACACTTTTTTTTTACTGTTGTTTGTGTTTGAGACCAACAAAATATTGTGAATGTTATAAGCTTTCAAATATCAGACAATGTCAGCTGCTGCTCCTCAGATGTGGTGTACCACAAGGTTTTGTTTTAGTCCTGTCATATTTCTCTTGTAGCTGGGTCCACTTTCTAAAAGTGAAATGAAAGTTGAATCATTCCATTTTTATGTAGATGACATTCAAGTCTGCCTTTCCATAAAAAGCCATCCATCCCATTCAGCAGAGAATCTACTGCAGTATTTGGACAGAGCAGAAATTACTCTATGTAAACAATAGATGGAAGTTTATTTGGTAAATTCAACCTGCTGACAGGAAGTGCCAGTGTTGATGGATCGTTGGACTCGTTTGGCTGTATATCCATTAGGAATCTTGGGGCCAATCTTTGATTCAGATTTGAAATAAGTCACTGCAGTAATCTAGCTTTTATCATCAGAGCCTTTCTAGTAAGATCCAGAATTATTTTCCCCAAAATGCCTTTGAGATGGAGATGGTTATTAATACTTTTATTACTTCTAGGCTGAACTATCGCAACTCTCTCTACCTGGATTAACTAGTCTCTTTTCGTAATCGTCAGCTTATTAAAGCGCCGCAGTCTCTTAATGTGGATAAGGCAGAAAGAACATTTTGCCCCATTGTATTGAATTTCCCCCACTGACTGCCTTTTTTTTTTTTTTTTAGAATTGATAAGATCTTATTAGTTTGAAATGTTTAAATGGTTTGGCACCTCTTTATCTTTCTGAGGTTTTACATGAACAGAAGAGCTCTACCAACAACCGACTCTTCCTAGGACTCAGCTTGTTACCAGGGGAGACGGAGCTTTTTCAGCAGCAGACCTTCTATGTCTGCGATGTCTGGTGGAGCTTTGAATGAATTCAGTTCTGTCATGGCAGTGGTTGATGGAGTAGGACCCAAATGCACAAGCATCATGGACCGAGGCAAGTTCCTGGTATAACGATGTAAGGAAGAAGCCGGCTGCTGTGGTTTGACCAAGATGAAGTCAACTACCACGTCTGGAAAGGAAAGTCTTTAGTGTACTTGAAAACTACCGCTATCCTGGGAAGTGAGTTAGCAGCTGGAGTTAATGCACAAGAAGCTACAGAGATAGCCCGTGATGTCATTCAGATTAGTGGCAATCATATGCAGATGTTCTGGATGGAAGAACAATCAGACAATATGATTTGCACCAATGATTTTATTTATCAAATATATTGCAGAACTAATATGGAATTAACTGAATAGCTCACTTGAAGATTCACTTATGTGATCTGCAGTGTCACTCCTTTTATTGATTTTCCACTGAGTACTGTGGTGAATCAGTGTATCTGGGCTCAACTCATAATGACTTTTCACTCTGAACAAGGCCTAATCAAGGTTTAGATACTCAGAGTTCATTTTATTGATTGATATCAGTCGTTCCAGTAACTAAGAACTTGCTTGCTTGGTGAAGCCAACAATGAGTTCATGGAGGTACTCTGAGTTTGTTAAACTTCTATTTTTCAATATTTCAATTAAAAAAATAATACATTTCAACAGAAAAATAGAGGTTTTGTTTTGTTTCTTTTTCAGAAGTATTCATAGAAAATATTTTCTTTTTCCCTAAATCTTTTCATTTATTTATGCTTGTCTGTAGAAGGAGGTTTTTTTTAGGCAGATTCTATTTAGCATTGTTTTGTTCACTCAACAAAAAGGTTTTCACTTTTTGCTTTGGAAAAAAAACAAGTACACTTATTTACTTGTCTGTGCTTTCTTTAAAGTTGAATGCCTTTGCTTTGACTTCTCTTATCTGAAATAAAGATAAAGAAAGAAAGAAATTAGTCAGCTATGAGGTTCACACTTGGGTTTATTATTTATTATTAGTTTGTAGAGTGTTTAAACTGCTTTACCTCCTCTGCAGTGTGATCAAATGTTGAAGCAGGACCTGTGCGGCTAAGAGAAGCAAAGACAAAAATCTTGTCAAATATGACTTTGCAATTTAAAAAGAGTGGTAACACTTTATTTGAAGAGGTTTTATACAGTTTGTTGCTTAAAATCACATTACTAAAATATTCCTTTT